AGTAAGTGGTCAGATCGTTTCAGATCCTGTTGCGGTGCGAAAACGCTGGGCTGAGTATTTGAGCAGTTGTACCAAGTTGACCCACCAACAGTTAACTTAGATGCGGGTAGTGCCAAGATCCCGTTGCCGGACCCACCCATCAGTGAGGATCCTCCCTCCCTAACTGAAGTTCGGGGGGCGATTTCCAAGGTGAAGAGTGGTAAAGCAGCAGGGATCTGCGGCATTCCAGCTGAACTGTTAAAGGCTAGTGGTGACATGCTGTCCTGGCTGCCATCTGGCGGTCCGGTACCGTTCCTCCTGAGCTGTTGAGGGGTGTGGTCATCCCTCTCTGGAAAGGGAAGGGGGGCCGTTGGGACTGTAGCAATCATTGTGGCATCACACTGCTCAGTATACCAGGCAAGGTTCTCGTCCACATCCTTCTGAGACGTATCAGAGACCATCTACTGAGGCATCAGAGACTGGATCAATCCGGATTCACTCCTGGTAAGTCCACAATAGACCGTATCCTCGCGCTTCGAGTCATTGTAGAGCGCCGACGTGAGTTCGGGCATGGGCTGCTTGCAGCCTACATCAACCTCAAGAAGGCGTTCGAAATGGTGCATCGGGAATCACTCTGGGAGATCCTGAGACTGAGAGGAATTCCAACGAGGATTATTGGACTTATAACAAGCCTGTATACTGGTACTGAAAGTGCTGTAAAGTGTGGTGGGGGCCTGTCGAGCTTCTTTCCTGTTAGTTCAGGAGTGAGGCAAGGCTATGTTCTTGCGCCAACTCTTTTCAACACTTGCATGGACTGGATTTTGGGCAGACCTACTGTTCAAAGTCATTGTGGAGCAACACTGGGCAATATCAAGGTTATTGACCTTGACTTTATTGATGATATTGCTATTCTGTCTTTGGAAACCTTAGTGGTGGCTCTGGATGCAATGAAGCGAAACCATTGGGTCTAGAGGTCTCCTGGACCAAGACCAAAGTCCAGGACTTTGGGGACTTGCTAGGAGAACCTGTTCCGTCGATACGTGCTTGCAGTGAGAACACTGAAGTCACAGAGAGCTTTACATACCTTGGTAGTGTAGTTCATAATTCTGGGCTGTCATACCAAGAAGTCAGCAGACGGATTGGCCTGGCAGCAGGTACCTGTGCAGAAGGACCAAACTACGGGTTTTCAAGGCCCTGATAATGCCAGTTTTGCTGTACGGTAGTGAAACCTGAACATTATCCTGTGCCTTGGAGGCTCGTCTTGAAGCCTTTTGTAATAGGTCTTTGCGCCGGATCATGGGGTACTGTTGGCGGGACCATGTGTCCAACCAACGGTTCTACCGTGAGACTGGCACAGGACCTGTTATCTGCACAATCCGTGATCGCCAACTCAAGCTATATGGCCATCTGGCTCGCTTTCCTCAGGATGATCCTGCCCACCAGGTCATCTCTGTTCGAGACAACCCTGGGTGGAGGAGGCCTGTGGGACGACCTAGGAGGTCGTGGCTTGGGCAGATCGACCAAACCTGTCGTGAAGAACTCGAGATGGGCCGAGTCCCTGCCTGGCGTCTTGCCATGAAGGATTCTTGTGGCTGTAAGCGAAGGGTGGATGCGGCTATGCGCCCCTGTCGGCGTTAGCCCCTTTGATTGATTGATTGATTGGACCTCGCATTTTCCCTGGAACCTTTCATGCCTTCCCCTGTTATCGGGGCCAAGTTTGTTGCTAACAGAGTTTTCCGCGCAATAAAGCATACATAGGTAATATAGAAAATTACTATGTATATATATATATATATATATATATATATATATATATATATATATATACATATATGTGTGTGTGTGTGTGTGTGTGTGTGTGTGTGTGTGTGTGTGTGTGTGCATATGTGTGTGTACATATGTTTATGCATATATACATATGCATACACACATAAGCTTTACTATTAATCATTAGTGATAACTAGAAAATTGCCCCGCAGTATTCGGACGGCTGGGGCTGTGCGGGCGAGGGCGACAAGGCGCGTGGCTGCCTCGGAACCTCGCCCGACCTGTTCAACGACGCCCAGGAAGCCAAACTGTACTGCAACGGAATGGGCGGCGACCTTGCCTCCGTGGAAAACCCCACGCCCTCCCTCTGCTTGAACAATGCCTCGTCTCTGTGGGTGGACAACGCTACCGACTTCCGCTCACACGCACACTACTCCCTCACGCCCAGCAACCCCACAAGCATCTCCTGTGACGGTCACACTCGCAAGAGCAGCTCAGCGTTGTGCGTCTTCCCCTTCGTGTTTTCCAACGAAACCTCTACCACGACTGAAGAGACAACGACTGACATCTCTACGACTACCAGCACTATGGATACTACTACAGAAAACACCACGACAGAGATCACGACTACCAGCACTACGGATACCACTACTGCAAACACCACAACAGATATCACGACTACCAGCACTACGGATACCACTACTGCAAACACCACAACGCAAGTTAGTACGACTGTGAGCACTACGAGTACCAC